GGAGGCTGAGGCAGGCGGATCACCTGAGGTCAGGAGTTCAAGGCCAGGCTGACCAACATGGAGACATCCCGTCTCTACTAAACATACAACATCAGCCAGGCTTGGTGGAGCCTGCCTATAATCCCAGCTACTCGGGAGGCTGAGGCAGGAGAAACCCTTGGACCTGGGAGGGGGAGTTTTCGGTGAGCCAAGATCACACCATTGCACTCTAGCCTGGGCAGTAAGAGTGAAACTCTGTCTCAAAAATTAAATAAAACAATAATAGTAATAATAAATATTCAGGTTAACAGCCAGGTGAGGAGATACCTAGACTAGAGCAGGGGCTGGAGGCAAAGACAGGAGCTTCTGCCTCCGTGGAGTGAGGTCCACCACCCCCCTGGTATATGAAAGTGTTCGCCAATATGGAAGCGCTTTAAGCTCCGTAAAGTTCAGGGATTTTTATAGAGGTTTTATTAAGAAACCACAATCGATTATTATTATTGTTATTATTATTATTACTTTTTTATTTTTTTTTTTAAAGATGGGGTTTCCCCATCATGGCCAGGCTGGTCTTGAACTCCTGACCTCAGGTGATCCTCCCACCTCAGCCTCCCCAAGCGCTAGGATTACAGGCGTGAGCCACCGCGCCCGGCTGCCACAGTCGATTATTAATTCCATTGCCAGCCCCTCTTCCCTCACCAGAGAAAGGTAGTCATGCTGAAAGCTCCAGGCTTCTAATCATGGCCTGGTCTTATTGGCTTCCCACCCAGGAACCTCCGAAGCATCACCTCCTTGGAGCAAAAGACACTCCTGTCACCCAGGAAATCCCAGGGAAATTTGGAGCTGGGCGTCAGATGTTCCCATCACTCATTACAAAAGTCTCAGGGGCTCTGTGTCAGAAACTGGGGCAAAGACCAAATATTTATCTTACTGTAAATCACAATATCGGGCAGGCACGGTGACTCATGCCTATAATCTCAGCACTTTGGGGGGCCGAGGTGGGTGGATCATCTGAGGTCAGGAGTTCGAGACCAGCCTGGCCAACACGGCAAAACCTCGTCTCTACTGAAAATACAAAAATTCGTGGGGTGTGCCTGTAATCCCAGCTATTCTGTAGGCTGAGGCAGGAGAGTCGCTTGAACCTGGGAGGCGGAGGTTGCAGTGAGCTGAGATCGAACCACTGCACTCCAGCCTGGGTGACAGAGCGAGACTCTGCCTCAAAAAAAAAAAAAAAAAAGTGTGCCCCTGGCCAGAGGTGTGGCCAAGCCTTGCCCTTGGCCTGATGCGTGACCAGAATAAAGACCCCAGCCTCAGCTGCTGGTGGGGAGGCTCATGTTTGATATAGGGAAAGAGGCAGCAGATTGACGGCTATGAGCACACAGAGAAAACACGCCCAGCGTGAACAAAGGCTGCAGAGAGCCCACAGATTGCAGACTACTGGGGAGAAGGGTCAAGTCCAGAAAGCAAACAGACGTTTTGTGTCCCCAAGGGGCTTGGTTGCACGTTCACGCCTGGTTCCTGCCCAGCCCATCCAGGCCCAGCCACCCTGCACAGAAGGCTGTTTGCTGAATTAAATCCTTGCCCAAACATTTATTTGTTTGTTAGTTTGTTTTGAGACAAGATGCCTGCAGGTGCCCCGTGCCCTCTGGCCAGGTCGGGGCTCACAGCTGGGGCAGAGGAGGAGAGGCTGCCGAAGGCTGGACCTGTGGGTTTGTCTCCAACTCTGAGACTCCGGGCGGAGAGTTCTGGAGTTAGAGCATGGACAGGGCTCATGGTGTTGGGTCACGGACTTGACTCTCCAGCTTCCTCATAAAAAGGATGGAAGCAGCCGGGCGCGGTGGCCCACGCCTGTAATCCCAGCACTTTGGGAGGCCGAGGCAGGTGCATCACCTGAGGTCAGGAGTTCGAGACCG